AAAAATTTGCATTCCTCCATATTTTGTAGTGTTGTGCATGTTTTGGACCTAAAGGTGGAAGACAAAACTACTGTGGTCCTAAATGTACAGCAATTAATGGTGGAACTGTAATGAAGAGCGCTTTCGTTTGGTTTTGGGTGCGAACCAGAATACCTGAACGTCTGTGGAAAAGATGTATGGAGTTTGTGCTGAAAAATTCCGCAGGCAAACTTGAAAAACATTTCATTGACCCGCAAACAGGCACTGCACAAAAGGTGGGGGATATTATGGAAAGTTAAGACGACACTATTGTGATTAATGGCAACAGACACAATACCACCAGAAGCAACAACAACAACGACAACCAAAACAACAACTGCAATGACAACAATAGGAAGGACGTCGACGACGACGATGGCGGCGACGACGACAACGATGACGACGACGACGACGACAACAACAAAAACAACAACAACAACAACAACAACAACAACAACAACAACAACAACAACAACAACAACAACAACAACAACAACAACAGCAGCAACAGCAGCAGCAGCAGCAACAGCAGCAGCAACAACAACAACAACAGCAACAACAACAACAACAACAACAACAACAACAACAACAACAACAACAACAACAACAACAACAACAACAACAACAACAACAACAACAACGACGACAACAACAACAATTTAACCAGCAGTTTGGTTTGTTTTCAGGGTTCCTGCTCAGGAAAACTTAGATCATTTTTAAACGAAGGTGTAAGTAGAATATTTCAAGAAAAGATTTATATTACCGGCAGCAGTTATTCTGAACTTCTAACCCTTTTTCTCTGACAATACGCCCGACCTCTGCTCAAGCATTGGATATTTCTTAATTCACTTGATGTTATAAAGGACTTAATTCTAGACATTGACAGTATCACATCGGATATTTCTTTGTTTTAGACATTGACAGTATCTGACAAGGAAAGTTTTGACAAGATTCCAGATGTTCCAGGTCTTCTCTCATATCGTAAAGATGATAAACAACTTTATGTCAATCAAGGATCAAAGTGGCAAGCATTGAGTACTGAACAAGAGGTTAGTTTAAATATGAGGAAATAGCACGTCGCACTGTTGAACTACATCATTATATAACTGAAATTAATGAGTAACTTTAGGGTATATACCATATCAGTACGATCATCAACCGAATTTCAACGCACGTTCAACGTAAATGTAAACGAGGAAATAAAGCTTTCTCGTTGCTTAAATTATTCAGTAAAATATGTGCATCTGACACATGCAGCACGGCTACTCCTGTGAATAAATCGAACGCCCACTACCTATAAATATCGAATGCATACTTGATTACGAATTGTGTCTCCATTTTATTTTCATTCTCCAGTAAACCGCCATATTGAATTCGACCAGGTAATAATACAAAAACTATCTCACTGAAGATTAAATCTAATTGTAGCTTAAGCAATTGAAGAAACAAATCCAAAGTCAAGACACGAAAATTCAAAGTCAAGGAAACAAATCCAAAGTCAAGGAAATATGATTAAAAAGCTGGAAAAAGAAAATCAAGGTATCTAACAAAATAAAAATGTTAAGGTTATAGAAAATCAAACTTCCTAAAATCGATTTTTTTTATTTTTCGATTTCCGGAAAGTGAAATATGAATCTCTCGCTTGCAACAATTTTTAAAACATTTAAAATTGAATTAGTTACGATAACGTTTTTCAAATTTTATAATCGTAGTGAGAATGACTGTTATTGCAAATGACACCAGAAGGACAGCTTGTTAAGTGATTTAAAGTATAAAGATTTCAAAACAAAAACAAACGAAGCATTATTATGTTTTCCAGCTATTAACAAGCGTATGGACAGGCTACATTCACCAGCGTCTTGTTCAGCTTTGTTAATAAAACACCCTTCAACACCAACTGGAATGTATTATTTAAATCCTCAAGGACTCAGTTCATCGCCATCGGTTCATGTATACTGTGATATGACGTCAGAGAATCGTGTTGGTGTGACGGTGATTGGACATGACAGTGGATCAAGAACACTTGTGCATGGATATGAAGATCCAGGTTCTTACAAACGAAAGATTAAATATGATATTTCCATGGAGCAGATCCTTGCCATTATGAAGCAGTCCAAGAATTGTGAACAATTCATAAAATATGAATGTTTTGGTAGCGCATTTAGGTTCCATTCTGTAGGTGCATATCAAAGCTGGTGGGTATCACGCCAAGGTTCAAAGGTGAATTACTGGGGCGGAGCGGCAGTCAACAGTGGAAAATGTGCATGTGGAATGACCAACAGCTGTGCAAGTGGATTGAAATGTAATTGTGACAAGAATGACATGACATGGCGTGAAGACAGTGGATATCTGACAGACAAGAACACACTGCCTGTTACTGAACTGAGATTTGGAGATACCGGTGGTGAGAAAGGATACCATACACTGGGAAAACTGCGATGTTGGGGTTAGGATAAAAGAGCGGATTTTGAGGGATAATACATGGGCTCAAACGTTGTCACTTAGCAAAACATACGATAAGTAATATAGAACGCTTCTTTGCCTTTTGTAAAAGTGTGAATACGTATAGGTCATATTTATCACTAACGATATCCGCACTGTGGGTGGTTACTTGACTATTCACTTCGTGCTACATATTCAAAGTTAGTACAATACTTAATAAGCAATATGTAGTTTCGTACACTGCAGCTTTATACAAACTTAAAAATAGGAAATCTGCTTTATGTTTAAGTACAGAATTGTTTAAGTATAGAATGAATAAAATATATTGCACTAGAATCTAAATTGAAAAGTGTATAAGGTCTAGTTTTAAAGATAAAGAGCAGAGCCCAGCAAATAACTTTAAAACCAAACATAATAAAAGTAAAATTTATTACCTAACGTTTCGTTGTTTACAATACAACATCTTCACTCTTCAGAGCAATCTAAATGAATTTACAGGGTATGGTATATATATTTACAAAATAATGCATGGTTTAGTATTATAAAAACGGTTATTTAGTTTGAAAGAACAAATTAATAGAAAGAAAGGAAAGGAAAACAAAATAACACGACAAGTTCCATACATGTTCCAAGAAAATTGTTTACTTCTGCCTTCCTTTCACTGGACATCATGGTCTACATATCCGTTCACAACTTAGTAAATTTATTGCTTTTGCTTATCCACATATTTCGATATACGTGTTGTTTTCCTCCCTCTTGTCGCCTTTCTAGTTTCTTTCCATTTAAAGACAGGATTTCCATTGCCCTGAGATCACATGTCGTGCATCAGTTCATGTGTCAATGCTGTAGCGCATTGTATGTTGGCCAAACATGCCGACACATTCACACACGTATCTCAGCTAGAGCATATGGGAGTGTCGCCTTTGACTGGAAAAGAACGCCCTATCTCAACCATGTCTAGTAAACTTCGCTCACAAACACATGCACAAACACCCAGTCTCCGCTTCTGATTTCAAAATCCTATCATCAGGCATTTCTGAGTGAGCTCTTCTTATCCGTGAAAGCCTATTAATTTCTCAACTTAACCCTGTCCTTAATGCTAATATTAGGTAGATCTACCCCTCGAGTTATTCTAGTTATGTAATATTTATCTTACTAATTAACTAATTAATATTAATCTTTACTAATTAACTGGTTGCTGATAGTTGTTTTCCTTTCATTCTATTCATCTGTTCTTTCAAACTAAGTAACCGTTTTTGTAATACTAAACCATTATTTTGTAAATATATATACCATACCCTGTAAATTCATTTAGATTGCTCTGAAGAGGTTGTATTGTAAACGACGAAACGTTAGCTAATAAATTTTTACTTTTATTATGTTTGGTTTTAAATTTATTTGCTGGGCTATATGCTCTTTATCTTTGAACTAAGATTTCCTCCTGGTGTACTGCCATAGTATAAGGCCTGTTTTATACGTCGAATTTCGGTTGCGTCGAATGCAATTTAATCAATAAATAATGAAGCTTAATGAGGTTTATTATCTCATTATCTATTGTCTTAATTGCATTCGACGCGACCAAAATTCGACGTATAAAACAGGCCTAAAAGTGGATAATTGTTTTAAGTTGTTCCTTTATTTGGGGTTTCAGAAAATGGTAGCATATATAAGCATGACGAAATTGGCCTATCCATACGACTGTTTACAGAAATACAGTGAGGTGTCCTAATTTGGTGTTCCAGAAAAAGTTACGCAGAAACAAATTGATAGACACTTGAAAGCATGAAACACATGTAAACTATAGGTATTTTATTCACTCATTTGAATGGCACAAGAACTTAATACAAGTCAGAGGCGGCGGGGAGTCAGGGGAGTCGTGTTCACAGACTGTAAAAACAATCGCTTTCAAAGGAAATAAATGATGCAGAACATGAATATATGAATATCAGCCCCCCAATTATCGACTTTCCGCCGCCCCTGATACAAGTTTAGAAATTAGAACTGTCAGAAGACAAAACATAATGTGCCTTTTGTTTGTGTGCTTGCCACATATTAGTTTTTGCCACACAATTGCATTCTTTGGCACTGTACTGCGATGACTGATCTTAGCCAATGAGAATTAGGAAATTGTTTCATGTATAAATTAATTAAAGTGCGACTAACCCCAAATATAATTTTTAGTATGTGTAATATTTGGGTCATTCTGAGAAGAAATGTAATATATCTTTATAGTAAAAAATCCCATCTTGATCAACTTTTTCACTGTCAAAGTTCCAGATATGATGTCATTAGGTGAATTTTTGGTACAAAAAACAAAGGAAACTAATTTGCAATTCACCTAATGACATCATATCCGGAAACTTGACAGTAAAAAAAAGTTGATCAAGGTGGGACTTTTTATTATAAAAATATATTATATTTCTTCTTCAAATGACCCAAATATTACACATATCAAAAATCATATTAGTGGTTAGTCACACTTTAAGGAAATAAACCTTTCCTGTTTCTTAAATTATTCAGTAAAACATGTGCATTATTGCATCTGACACTTGTACAGTTGTACGTTGTAGCACAGTTAAGACAACAACACAGTTACTCCTAGTCAAATTCAATATGGCAGATTTACTAGGGCAACTAGTGACTAATTACCTTGTGTAAGTAATTACACAAAAGTAGCCCCTGGTTATTTAACCACCTAGCATGGTCTGGGTCTATTAATCGGACTATAGTAAGACAAAGGTTAAGATAACTAAGATATTAGTAAAATAGCGTTATTTCTAGCTTAACCAGATCAGTGTCTTCTTTCAAAACTGAGGAAAAACTGGG